AAAATATGGTACTATCTGCTGTGGCAGCTCAAAGTCAGAAAAAGCTCTACAAAACATGACTTTCTAACTGATGTTAAAGGTAGATATGTCAGCAGAAGTATTTACTATCAGGATGCTGGGATTTTCTTTTCTTGCATTGTCAACAGGTCTTTAATAACTGTCCAAACTGCCATGCAAAGACCCTATTTAATTTATAGTTACAATATATGCCAGTTCATTCTGAAAGGTACCCAAATAAACCAGTTTTATAATATTTCTTTCTAAAGCTGAAATAAAGGAAATTTATGCCATTATATATTTTAAACTTATAATTACAGTGCACATATATCTAAGAGTAAGTCTGATTGAATTCATTGGGCCTTATTTCTTACTAAACATTACTATAGCTATGACTGTTTAGCATTTTGAAAAATAAACCCCAAAAACTGACAGAAAGCAGTGTGTGCTATATACACATAGCCTTCTCTAATGTGGCACCCTCCATACCTAAAAATTAATCAGTGCTACCTTTTGACATTTTTATGGTTTGAAAAAATGTGATCCTATTTCTCTTTTCTTGGTATGTGAGACAAAATTAATCACTGATTGTAAATGAATTTGAATTTTATTTAAAAAACAAAACCGTGTCATCTTTCCCTACAAGGTACATTTCTTCTTTCTCCTAGCAATCTTGTATGGTAGATTAATCTAAGTAATAGGTGATAAAATTTAATACTGATAAAAGTAACGGTAACAAATATGTAGCAGAGTTTATCTGTTTCTAAGACAGACCCATACATCATAAATTTGTGGTGGTGCCTTCTCATCCCATTTGAATTTATTATCCCACCTTCAATGACTGAAAGTTACTATTTTGAAATCTCACTCTGTATATTAGTTTTCCCTGGTACTCCAGTGTTTTGACAATTCCCATCATCCCCAACCAGCATGGATAACAATTCCTATCACCAATTCCACTGTGCAGCCACAAAGGCATTTTAGACCCTAGCTCTCCTGCTATACAGTAGCTAGCCCCAAACCTGGGGATTTTATAGTTATGCAGTAGGGAGATAGCTAGGGGGCTGTATTGACGGAGCTGGAATCTTACAAGTTAAGGGCTTCATTAATAGAGAAAGGCTGCATCCACACTGCAGAAATAATCCAGTTTGAGACTACTTTAACTGCCCTGGCTCGTTGCTAGGGAATTCTGGGAACTGTAGTTTTGTGAGGCATGTAGACTTCTTCAGACAGATACAATTGCAAACAGATCTCTGTCTTTTTTAACCTTGAGCCTTTTAAGCAGTAGATACTTTTTTGTGCTAAAACCTTTAAAAGCCTTATAAATTCCATCACCTTGTTCCTCAAATTTAAAAAGTTAATAAATTCCCATTTATCCCAAAGCTGAAATATAGGGGTCTTACACTTTGGAAAGAACTTTCAACCTGATTTGCTAGAATTAATATGCCCTTTTATTAAATGGAGAAAGTAAGTAACTGATCTATGTTTGTGATAATGCAGCAACAGTGTAACAGTAGTAAACAGCAGTACCCTTGTCCCTCCACATTTGCTGGGGTTAGGGGCACAGGACCCCTGTGAACATGGAAAAACCGCAAATAACAAAAACACCATGTTTTTACCTGAGAGAACACCTCTCTAGGAATCTCTAGGTCCTCCAGTGCAACTCTGTGGTCAATATCTGCCAGACATTGACCATAGAAATGCGGTAGAGGAGCTACAAATGCCTAGTGGAGTGTTAAAGTTGACCATACAGTTGCACTGGAGGATCTAGATATTCCTAGAGAGAATATATTAATAAAATCCGTGAATAATCAAAGCCGCAAATGTAGAGGGATGAGTGTATATGCAGTAACCTTGATCAAGTCCCAGAACCCAAAATTCCAGAGTACATTCAGGGTCTCTCATCTTTTTGTGCCAGTAAACAGTTTTGGAACTATGAGTGTTGTCAGGGCTTAAATATCTAAAGGCACCAGCTCCCATCTGATCTTGAAAGCTAATCAGGGTCAACTCTGGTAAGTACTTGGATGGAAGACTTCCAATGAATACCAGGTGCTGTAGGCTATATTTCTGAGGAAGGAACGGGCAAACCCACCTCTGAGTATTCCTTGCCTTAGAAAATCCTATGAAATTCGTAAGTTAACAGATGACTTGAAGGGTTTTCACGTTCTTGAAAAGCCATAGAATAAACCTGGCTAGCATCTGGGCTGTATGTGGGCTGCATTCACCCAACCATGGTGAATGCAATAAAATCCACTTGTAAATTTAAATGTGCCTCTATCCCGTCGGGTATAAGGCACTTTAAAAAGGGTGTGCTAATCTCCTATGGATGCCTTTTAAGATGCTTGTTGATTTATAGCAATCCCATGAATTCCATATGATGTTCTTAGGCAATGTGATTTTGCTAGTTCCTTCCTCTGAAATATAGCCTACGGCACATGATATTCATTGGTGGACTCCCATCCAAGTACTAAAAAAGAGACAATTGGCTACAGCATGTTTTGCAGTATGCCATGAACAAGCCCTTAAACTCTGTTAAAGGCAGAACTTGATGTCCTTCTGTTTTGACATGTTAAATATACCTACAATAATCAAAGTGAAATGCATGCAATGCAACTATCGTAGCCTTTACACAAAGCTATATAAAACAGAAAGTGAAAGAATGGGGTTACATCATGATATATAAAACTAGCAATTTCTTGTCAAGAGAACCAATTTCTTGCCAGAAAGTATTCTAATTTTTGGCAAATTGAGACTGCTAGCTTTTCAAAAACTGAGTAAGCTAATAAAACATGCAGCTACACTTCCTAAAGTGAAATGCTCCTAATGAACTAATTACAACCATCCACATTTTCCTACAACTGTCATGATTAACATTTTTATTCATAAGAACCTTTTTGTTCTTGATTTACAGAACTGAACAATTAATATCTCCAAGAAATGACTTCAAAGGACAGCCAAAAAGCCCAATTTAGATGAAACTTGGATCTTCATGGGTGTACAGTAAAGAAGTGAATGCAGTTGGCTGTAGACAAACATTTCCCATTCCTGCCCATAAACAATTATGTATCTCGTTGACAGATCTTTGACTATCTCCAAGTATGACAATGGAAAAACAAATATTTGATTAGTCAGGAACTGGCCAATTCTCAAGGCTTACTTTTGTTGTTGTTAACTGCCTTCAAGGTGATCTCCACTGTGGATAAGACATCTTGAAGATTCATCCTCTACTGCTCTGCTTAGTTCCTGTAAATTCATACCTATTGCCTCCATGCCAACTAATAAGGCAGGAATCCATGCTCTTTTCTGTTGCTACCATTGTGTGTTAAGATTGTCAAATGAACTCCCTTGTTCAAACCAAAGTCATTTAGCCCCCATTTCAATTCTGTTCTTAGAGAAGCTGGTAGAACTGCTTTGTAATGATTCCTATATTGATGTGGTATCAGATGTCTTTGCAGTCCTCTGCAGGGAACTAAATGTATCATTGATACTAAAATACCCAACATTTTGGTTAACAGCATCACATCTCCAGATTTCAAGGTTGTAACATGCTATATCTTGTGATTCAGCTTGTCTTTCCTCCCCTGGGAAAGTGAAAAATAGCCCACTCCAAAGGTTGTCAGGTGTATTATTTTATTTATTATGTATTTAATTTATTTATATGCTGCCTTTCTCCCTGAAGGTACTGGTACTGGAATTTCAAGTATTGCCTGTCCATTGGAGCCATGGGAACATGAAGGTACACTTCCTTGAGGTCTATGTAAATCATCAGATCTCCAATTTTCATGCT